ACCTTGACCCTTCAGGCAGTCTACAGCTACGACCTCTAAACTGTCTAGACTCCTACCCTACAGGTCTACAGTTTGAATCCCTTCTACCCTGTGACCTACGAAAAACTACCAACCACTGGCGGTCCTACAGGTAGCAGGTTCAAATCTACGGGTTGACACCGGTACTGTACACAGGTAAGATGGGGAACTAGGGATCGAGCCCTGGGATCTGCTTCAGCTACTGCGAACTGGTGAATACCGTTTCACTCCCGCCGGCCTAAATTCGAGGTCCTCCGAGAAAATTTCAGTCCAAGGCAGGACCTTTACCTCTCTGTTGTCTCTCCTAGGCCCGGACTATATCGGGAGCTGTCTCTAGAAGTTCAGATCTCGTAAACCAGCGGTCGTCTTCCGGTTCTTGATAACTAAAATGAACCTTGTATTTTTTCTGCGGACGACCCCTACCTCCAATTCTGAAGACATCTTCAACCACTATACCATCGATGTCATATCTTCCATCCATATCCGGTGGGATCATCAACCTACGGGATGGAAACTGGTCACTTGTTTGACAAGGTAATAACTTCGATGCATGGAAAACTGGGTAAGTGTGGAGGTGTGCTGGGAGTTCTATGGTATAGGACGGTCCATCTTTGCCGCCCTTGACTTCTAGAACGGGCCACGGTCCTCTATATGTGGGCAGTAACTTCTGCGAGATGTTCTCCTCAGGTGCAAACTCCTTAGAACTGACCCAGACTAAGTCGCCTACCTGGAACTGTGAGGGGCGACGATGCTTATTGGCTTGCTCTATCATCCTATGCTGGGCCTTCCTGAGGTTCTCTACAACAGTAGTTAGTTCTTTCTCATGCTGTACAACGAACTCCCTGGTTCCGGGCGGTAATCTGTGAATCTGATCCCGGTTGAGTCCCTCAAACGGTCTGCGCGGCCTAAAGGACTTGTGCAGTTCGTTGGGAGTGCGGCAGGTGGACATATGTACGCTGTTATTATACGCACTAGCTACTTTAGGCAACATCTCGTCCCAGTTAATCTGATCTGGCCTAATGTACATGCGCAGAAGTTGTTGTAGGATCTTGTTCATTTGCTCTGTCTGACCGTTAGTCTCTGGATGACGGTCGGACGACATCAACAACTTAGATCCATATACTCCCATGAGTTCTTGCCAGTTCTGGCTAGTAAAACGACTATCTCTATCGCTAACTATAGATAGTGGGATTCCATTCTCACTCACCCAACAGTCAAAAAAACTTTGTATGACTAAATCAGTACACGCCTCTGAAGGCAAAGGAACAAAAACTACGTACTTACTAAAACGGTCAACTATGACCATGACTTGGCTCTTGCCATGCCTGCTCTTGACTTGAGTATCCATGAAGTCTATGGATACTGAGTCTCCTGGCTGATCCGGAATGGGCAAGGGTCTGAGAAGACCTAGCGGGGCGCGCGTAGAACTCTTGTTACGTTGGCAGACTTTGCAACTGCGAACATACTCTACGCAGTCATTCTTCATTCCTGGCCAGGTATATGCGCGCATYAGATTGGCTAAAGTCTTTTGCCAACCAAAATGACCCTCTGTGTCGTGGCATTCTCCCAAAATCAGGCTACGGACCTCTTCACTACTGGGAATGCACAGGCGGTCAAATACATTAGTCTTCTCAAAAAGAAACCCTTCAGTAGTGCGGTAGTTCGGCTCGGTCTCTGGGGCCTCCTTGACCTTCTTGATGAGGTCATTGTAGATAGGGTCCTGTGCATAGGCTTCTCTAATCTTCTGCTGCATGTCCTTCCCTATGTCTAAGTAATGCACTATTGCCCCAAAGTAATCAGCTCTCCTACTCGGAGCATCCGCAACTACGTTATACTTCCCCTTGACTGGCTTGAGCTCAAAGTCATACTGATCTATCTCTGCGGCCCACCTAGTAAGCTTAGGTATCATCTTGGCCTGTGTCTTTAACCATCTTAATGTTTCATGGTCGGAATAGACTTTGAAGTGCCTCCCAAGCAAGTAGTGCTTCCAGTGTTCTAAGGCTTGCTTGAGAGCGTAGAGTTCCCTCTCATAGGTAGATGTCGCGACCTTCTCTGAAGGCATCCTGGCAGACATTAACTCTACGGGTCTATAACCATTGCCATCGTCTTGCTGCAACACCGCGCCTATGCCGTATTGACTAGCATCGGTCGTGACGACAAAAGGCAAGGACGGATTGGTGACTTTAAGGACTGGATACTCTATCAACGCCTGCTTCAACTTCTTCATGGCAGACGTGCAGTCCTTATCCCACTTCCAGATGGTCTCCTTTCTCAGCAATCTACGAAGGGGCGCAGCGATGGTAGAGAAGTTCCTCACGAACTTAAAGTAAAACTTCTATTGCATTGATCTTGAAGTTAGCTTCCCTCAGCTTCTCCAAGACCTGCAGTCCTTATCCCTAGGTCTAAGACGTGGCCTAGGTCGTGTTTTTGGAGACCTAGGACTGCATGTCTTAGACCTAGGGAAAGAAAAAAACACTCAATTTGATTGATTGATTGATTGATTGATTGATTGTGTGTGTGTGTGTGTGTGAGTATGTGTGTGTGTGTGTGTGTGTATGTGTGAGTGCGCGCGCGCGCGTGCGTGCCCTAGGTCTCAATACCCTCAGCTTTCTTTCCCTAGGTCTAAGACGTGCAGTCCTTATCTCTAAGACGTGGCCTAGGTCTCAATACCCTCAGCTTCTCCAGACGTGCAGTCCTTATCCCTAGGTCTAAGACGTGGCCTAGGTATAAAACTTGGGTCTTTGCCCAATCGCACTTCTTTGCATTGATCTTGAAGTTAGCTTCCCTCAGCTTCTCCAAGACCTGCCTGAGATGACCCTGGTGTTCTTGGAGGGTCTTTGTTGCATACTGTAACGTGCAGACCAGAACAAGAACTGACCTTTCAATACAAAGTATAAGATAGTACAACAGAAGACTTAGATACCAGTGATCCGAACAATCAATGTTGAAATGCAGCCCTGAACATACATCATCATCATCGTTACATGGTGTGAAATGG